ACAGTTCATGTTGTTAGCTAGTTTATGTTTAAACCTTGCATAATCATTATGCAGCAGTTCTTCAAATCATTTGGTATATCAAAGACACTCTGTATCATGGGCTTCACTTTTCTACTAGCTCCTCTCTTACGCTGCAAGTTTACTCTAATGCTGATTGGGGTGGTGATCGTGATGATTGACAGTCTACAATAGGTTTCTGTATCTTCCTCAGTCATTCCCTTATCTCTTGGAGAAGTAAGAAGCAGAAATTAGCCTCTTGCTTTAGTGCTGAATTAGAATATCATGCACTAGCAGACACCACTGCTGAGGTACTCTAGCTTTGTTGGTTACTTAATGAGTTGGGAGCATCTTAGAGCTCCTTCATAGACATTTATTATCATAGTCAAGCTGTAATCAAGATTGCTCACAACGATGTATTTCATGAGCCAACCAAACACATTGAGATTGATTGTCACTTTACTCGACAGCATATTGTTTAGGGCACCAGCTGACTTGTACCAACTCGAACCAAGTATTAGTCGACAAACTTATTTACAAAGTCTTTTCATTTAGGTTGCTTTCAGTTTCTAGTAGACAAGCTCAAGTTACTCTCTGTTAAGCCACCTTGAGTTTGAGGGGGGATGTTATCTAGAATATTCTAAAGATATATTTCTATTTATTATTTGCCATTATTTGAGAGATATTATTTAATAAGATATTATTGTAAATAGTCTTTATTAGGTTATCTCTTCCTCCTTGTATATATTATATTGTACTTATCATAATAATAATTGATATGACATTTTTAATTCTTCTCTAGTTTATCTCTCTCGCTCATCTCTGATAGCCCTCAGTTACAAAGATATTGTAATTAATAATCAACCAAAATATATATTAATCTTTTTTAAAATTTCAAGTCATGTAGAAATATTTTGAATAAAAAATATGGTAATACAAATAATAAAATATATGATATGTATTCACATTGTATTTGGTATCAAATACATATTGGATAAAGGTTTATTTATGAGTTTTCATTTCAGATTATGTACTCCTTGGACCACAATATCAATATAGGTATTTTTTTAGAAGTCTTACTTGGTATAAGACAAGGGATAATTTTCATAATAGTTTTTCAAACTTACCCTTGGCCTACTTTATTTATAACTCTTTTTTTTAAAAAATAATACATTAAAATTCTAATTATCATTATTAAAGTATTTATATAGGGTATTTAGTGAGTATATAATTGAAAAGATATAAAAAAATTTTAAAAAATTAAAATTTTACGTAACTTTTTTTAAGAATCATAAAGTAATTATCAATGACCTATATTATGGTTTATGAAGGGAGCAATTCATTTAGGAGTCATATCAAGCATTGTTCTTTCGGCACAGATTCAAATGCAAATTATTGAAAATTTCATTTGGGAGAGAGGAAGGAATATAGTTTTTGCATTACCAAAAAAAAAAACGGAAAACAGTTTTACTTTTGGATTATTTAGCACAAATTCGAACGCAATTTATTCGAATGCAAGTCAAGTTGTTGAGACAAAAGATGCCAAAAAGATAACGCAGCAGCGCAGTCAGAAGCTAAGGCACAATTGGAGATGACGTGGCAAAAGGTCAATTGAAGAAAGTTTATTTAATTTGACAATGAGGGATGATTAATTAGAAGCAAATTTGACTCCTAAACAATCAAATCAAGAGTGTTTCACTAAAAACAATCAGAAGCAGGGTAATAATTCATTATGAAGTGACTGACTAATTTATTAATGTAAGCCAGACAAAATGCTAAGGGAAAAAGAAAAATGATAGAGAGGTCTCAAAAGAATTAATTAATTTAAGTTAGGTCTTAAATGTTAAATTTTATGAATTTGTAATTCAATCTCTCAATTTTGCAACTCCATTGTGATGAATTTGCAACTTATATTTCAAATTTTAATAGAAAAAATAATTTTTTTATTTTTTTAATCATGTTAAAATTTGAAAAATAAGTTACAAATTTATAACAACATAGTTGTAAAATTGAAAGATTAAATTATAAATTTTTAAAGTTTGACTCTTGAGACCTGACTTAAATTATTTAGTTCTTTTCAGATTTCTTTGTCATTCTTTCCTAAGGAAAATGTGGTCATAACATTACAGTTGACCAATATAAAGACACCCATTATTTAATGTTATATCAACGAAACTTATCATTACTGAAAAAAAAAAAGTAATTGCCATTGATCCGACTACATATTTTATTTTTATTAGAATAAAGTAGAAAAGATGAAATATGTTTTTGATATTAAATTGTTTCTCAATATGTGTGTCTCATTTCACTTGTTGCTTAGTGTGTGTGTGTTTTACAATTGAGGGACTGTCATAGTTTTTTTATTCCATGACTACACACACACACACACACATTTTTACCAATCATAGCCAAATTCGAATAAATATATTTATACATAGACGCGCATACAATCTTATTCCTACTTATCCAATAAAACTATAGGGTTTGCATTTTAAAGATTTATTCCACGATATCTTGTCAGTCTTCATATTTGATTACAACGATAACTCAGTATATAAAACCGTAACTCCGCAAGTCTTAGTCTAAGGATTTTTCAAAAATATTGATATTTTTTAAAAAAATTGTAAATAAATACAAAAATGTTTCTTATTTTATATATAGAAGACAATAATTGAAAAAAATAAAAACGAAATTGAAAAGTTTGAGTTTTAAACAAGTATTTTAGGGGATGAGTGCAAGTATTTTGAGTTTTAAACAAGTATTTCTAAAATGTTGCAAAGATATTATAATTAATAATCAACCAAAATATATATTAATCTTGTTTAAAATTTCAAGTCACGTAGAAATATTTTGAACAAAAAAATCTGGTAATACAAATAATAAAATATATGATATGTATATTACCAAAAACATTGTATTTGGTATCAAATACATACTGGGTATAGGTTCATTTATGAGTTTTCATTTCAGATTATGTACTCCTTGGACCACAATATTAGTATAGGGTATTTTTTAGAAGTTTTACTTGATATAAGACACGGGATAATTTTCATTATAGTTTTTCCAACTTATCCCTACTTATTTATTACTCTTTTTTCAAAAAATAATGTATTAAAATTCTAATTGTCATTATTAAATTATTTATATAAGATATTTAATGATTATATAATTGAAAAGATATAAATTTTTTTGAACAAAATTAAAATTTTACCTAACTTTTTTTTAACAACCATAAAATAGTTATTAATGACTTATATTATAATATACGAAGGGAGCAATTCATTTAGTTGTCATTTCTGACATTATTCTTTTGGCACAGATTCGAATGCAAATTATTGAAAATTTAATTTGAGAGAGAGGAAGGAATATAGTTTCTGCATTACCCAAAAAAAAAAAAAGGAAAACAGTTTTACTTTTGGATTATTTAGCACAAATTCGAACGTAATTTATTCGAATGCAAGTTAAGTTGTTGAGACAAAAGATGCCAAAGACATAACGCAGCAATGCTATAGGAAGCTAAGGCACAATTGGGGATGACGTGGCAAAAGGTCAATTGGAAGAAGCTTATTTAATTTGACAATGAGAGATGATTAATTAGAAGCAAATTTGAATCCTAAACTAGCACATCAAGAGTGTTTCACTAAAATCAAGGGGGAATCGCATTATGAGTCATAAGAACACACATTTTTTTATTCTCCATGACAATATTTTATTTTTTTATTTTTTGAAATACTTTTTAAAAATATATTACTAAATATATTTTTTTTATTTTTTATTCTAAATAGTAAAAAACTGTTTCTATAATAGGTTGTCAAACAAGTCCTTAGATTCATAAGCGAAGAACATGTTAGCTGAGAATAAATATACAATTTGTTTTTTTATATAGGAAAAATTTATATGATTAGTAAATCCACTTGTCTTAATTTATTTTGATTAACATATATTAAGTATATGAGATTAAGTATATAAATCTTGCCCTTTATATATTCTTAAGTTCTGCAGAAAAAAAAGATAGTTTTAAGCTCAAAATTTTATTTTTATAGTAATTTTTTGGGAGTAAAATATAAAATAAAGAAAATTTACTGACCACTAATGTTAAAGTATAATCCATCTGTTAAAAAATATAAAGTATTTTTAATCGACTCTTACATTTCAATAAAGTAGCTAACTATTTAATGAGTGTTTCATTTTTAAAAAAAATATACAGTGATTTATTTATTATGGACATTATTGTTAAAAAAGTATATTAATTACATCTTGAAACACTAATTTTTTTTTTTTTTACATTTTTGAATACTCGGCCACTAAAAAACTGTCTTTCATTTTTTAACCCAGTAGGTACTAAACACAATAATTTGCTAAGTAAGAATGACGTCCTCTTGTTTAATCGTCAAGGCTTTTCTTAAATTCTTTGCTTTCCCATTGCTTAAATTTTCAGTGAAGTTCAATATCACAACTATTGGTCGCTTTGGCCTTTATGTGTATTATTAAAATTATAGAAACTATTGTTGAAGACCGATTAAATTTAAAAACAACAGAAATAATTAAAAAAATTATCGGGATTAAAAATAATATACTTTCAAAGTACATGACTTACAATTATATTTTTACTAAAATCATTGTGTCATTTCGATGTGAATACTGTTTCATCAAATTAAAAGTTTTTCTTCTGTACGTTCTTCCTTTCTTTCTGAATATTTGTCTGTAATCGTTTTTGTGGAATTTTATTGACTTGCAGCCATGGCTGCTCAATGAATGAATAATACATCTGATATCCATTCGGTTACTCTCGTTCTGGTTCTAATTGTGAATAGGATGGTCAACGTGACACCCAACTAATTAATTTGACAACTTGCAGCAAAAATAGCAACTAATTTTACTAGAAAACTCATGTTCAATATATTTATTATTAGAATTATAACTTCCAGCTGGCTTCCTCAGTTGGCTATTATATATAGCCGACGCGGAGGATCATCTAAAGCATAACGAATACATTAATTTGAAGAAACAATACCAACTTCTCATCATCGTCGAACCCTGATCCCTGGGAACAGGTATGCATCTCCTCTTGTTTAATCGTTAAGGCTTTTCATAAATTCTATACTTTCCTATTGCCTACAGTTTTCAGTAAAATTCGGTACCTCAACTACATATTAGCCTGTTTTAATTGGTCCTTTTTGTTTTGGTTATGAAAAGATTTGCTAGATCACAATTTATATAATTCCCGATCGAGCTTTAATTATGATCAGTCACCTTGTTTGTTCTGCTAATAGATATGGAAGATGAAGAGATCATGATAGACATAAGAGCAATAATGACAGATAATAGAGAAGATGGTCTCTCCTCGCCTTTGCGTTGTATCTACAAGGTGCCTCCGATGATTCGTGTTCTAAAAGAGCAAGCTTACACTCCACAGGTCGTTTCCATTGGTCCCTTCCATCACGGTGATGTGAGGCTGCAAGACATGCAAGACCACAAAAAAATAATGTTCAAAAGATTTGTAGAAAGATCAGCTATGATAGGCTTGGACACTTTGGTCAACTTTGTAAAGGAGGCTGAGCCCAATGTTCGTGCTTCTTATTCAGAGAGCATCAAGCTTAGCAAGAATGATCTTGCTAAATTGATATTAGTGGATGCTGCTTTCATCATTGAGCTCTTTAGGATGAGTTTCAATGAAACGTTTCATTGCAGAAACAGTGATGCTAAACTATCACAAACATGGTTAACGGAAGCTATAGGTATCGATTTGCTTTTACTTGAGAATCAACTTCCGTACTTTTTCCTTGAACAACTATTCAATATAGCATTTCCACTTCATCTTAGAGTTGGCCGCCCTTCATTTCTTGAGCTTACATATTTCTACTTCCACAATCATAACATTCAAAGTTTAGAGCCTCGTTCCAATATCAGGATAAAGCATTTCACAGATCTTCTTAGATTATTTTACTTACCGGAAACAAAATCGAGAAGGGGTCAGTTCAAAGAGGATGGATCTGATTTTCTTTTATACAACGCAAAAGAGTTAAAAGAGGCAGGAGTAAAGTTGAAGGTAAGAGCAAGCAAGTGCTTACTAGACTTGACATTCTCAGGACATTGTCTGGAGATTCCTCAAAATTTTGTCGAAGATTCCACTGAAACTTTGTTTCGTAATATGATAGCTTTAGAACGGTGCCATTATCCTCATGAATCTTATATTATTGACTATGTTATTGTATTGGATAGCCTAGTCAGCACAAAAGAAGATGTGGAGATTCTCACTCATAAAAAGATTATCCACAACTTGCTAGGTGATGTCGATAAGGTTGCTACATTATTTAATGGTCTTGGGAATAATATAAGTATATACAATTTCAGTATTGAATACCTTGACATTTGCAAAAGATTGAATGAGTTCTATCAGGATAGTTGGCATAAGGGAAAAGCAACTTTGAGAAGAGATTACTGCAACACACGTTGGCGAATGGTGGCTTCCAGTGCTGGAATCATACTTCTCATTCTCACCCTTACTCAAACCATATTTTCCATCCTCCAAGTAGTATAGAAATATAGCTAGATTTGAAGCTTGTGTATTTTAGTGTTTTGTCCTTTAAATTTATATTCCCTTGCTAGTTTTATTCAGTCTTTCTACTAAACCATGTGTAACAATATAGTAATAATCTCAATCCTTATGGTTTGTTTTCTTTACACATTTGTCTGTGTCAGCCGCACAGGTTTAATTTTTTTTTAATATTATTTCTAATAAAATCCTTTGAAGTTTTCTTTGGTAAAGATATGTGATTTTTTTTAAATGAATGACAAGTTGTTATAAAAGTTAAACTCACTCAACTTTTGCTTATATAGAATATATAGATAGTGGGTTAACTTAATCAGCAGAAAAAATGAGAACAAAAAAAAAATTACATAATAATACCCTAGGTTTTTATATTTCACATCTCATACAGTTATAATATGGGATAACAATAGTTTTAGTCCCTACACTTTCTAACAATTTTAAAATAGGTTCCTATAGTATAATTTGCAATTGGAAGCGTATAGTCGGATGTGGACAAAACGTGTTACAAATAGGATGATGTGGCAGTTAAGTATGCGACGTGGCTGCCACATCACATTACAATATGGTAAATAGAACCAATGATGAGAGCCTGGTCACATTTAAGGGGGAAAAAAAAGAGGGTAACCAAAGGTTTATCTGCACTATAAATAGTTACAGGACCTGGTCCTGTGATGATATCTGGACCATCCAACTTATAATCTGGATGGTCCAGATTTAAAGTATTATTATATATTTTTATTTTATATTTATTTAAATAAAAATTTACAAAAAGTATAAAATAATAGTAATAATTTTTTTCATTTTTAATTTCATCTAAATTTAATTTGGAGGGTCCAATTTAATATTATTTTTTATGATTATTATATATTAATTATCTAAATGTACTTTGCACAATTTAGATTTAATTTGGTGTTAGTCTGGATTGTACATAGTTCATTTGAATAATCAATACTATATACATCAATTACAAAAATTTAATATTAAATTGAATCCTCTAAATTAAATCTAGACCACATTAAAAATAAAAAACTTATTAAAATTATTTTATTATTTTTATTTTAATAAATATAATATATAATAATACTTTAAATCTGGATCATCCAAATTTTGATTTAGATGGTCTAGATCTTATCACATGGTGCTTATCCATGTGATAAGGAGGGAATGCAGTTCCACCAGTTACATCATACAAATGCCTTTAAAACCTGCCAACTAGCATAGGGCGAGTGGGATCAAATATTCAAAACTAAGTGAAGTTAAAATATAAGAAAAATGATAATAAAATTTCTCTGAAATGTATAAATAAAAATTTGATCATTCAAGATATCATAACTCCCTTGAAGTTTTTAGGAACTTTTCTATCATTAATGTATTTATATAGAATACCGGATTGCTTTTGTTAAAAATAAATGATTTACAAAGTTTGTTTAAGTATTCACAACTTTTCTTCTTATATTCATAACAACACGATAGCAAATAAGAAATTAACATGCAAAGTTGTGATTTGCTATTACATTATTACAAATATAAGAAGAAAAGTTGTAAATATTTAAACAAAGTTTATGAATCATTTATTTTCAACAAGGATAATTTAATAATTTATATAAATTTATTAATGATAGAGAAGTTCCTAAAAACTTTAGGAGAATTATTGCATTTTGAGGGATCAAATTATCATTTATATATTTTAGAGAAATTTTATTGTCATTTTTCCTAAAATATAGGCATATTAGCAATTGTTACATTGTATGTAAAATTATACTAAAATATGTAATAAACTATTTAGGTGAGTTAGATTCTAAAAACTTATATATTAGAATCAAGATATGTCTTTAGATTTAAAAAACACTTATCAAGATACTATTGCTATTATTATTATCATTATTATTATCTGTTTTATAAAAGACGTTTTGTGATAGTGAACCATAATGAGTTACAGCTTACAAGGCACAGCCACGTATATTTGATGGGATGCATCATTTGGGAGAAGTTACATAAAAGTGGTGTAAATTCTGATATTTTGCCCTCTCTAGCGGCAATTCCCCCCCCCCCCCCCGGGGACGGCCTCCTCCAACAATAACGTAGTTGCGCCCCTGAAGCTAGTCTAACTAAGAAGATCTGTAAAGTGCTCTATCCTAACATTGGGATGAGGCTATAATTTTTGGATGTTATCGCAGTGGGCACTTTGTACATGCAACATGTCGGAAGCAAGCGACCATCTCTGCTATCTTGTATCAGTTTTTTAAAGTCAACCGTCACTTTATCTTCCATCTAGGTATCAAATTTGATTCTAAAAGCAATCAGAGATTGCAGAAGCAAAAATAAAAGCAAGAACAAATTGTAGACTGTAATTAAGTTTCTAAAATCTAAATCATGTTCTAGTTAAGTTCTTGATTGGTTTGCATCTCACAAATTGTTAATTTATATCTAAAACTAAGTCAGGCTCTGATATATATTGAATTAGCTGAGATATTGAACATTAGTAAACTTGAAAGGAAAAATAAAGAGATTAAGAAAAGCTTTAGAAATGAACAAAAGTAGGGGATGATACACACACACTTGCTTTTCCAAATGATTGAATGATAAATCTGTGGAATTAGGTGTTAGCACAAGTTGTTGCATTTCCACCATTTCCCCAGAACTCTCACTTTCAGTTCTTTCCCTGCCATCTCCCAGTAATCTCAATGCTCTCTCAAATTGTAGGATTTAATATGCTTTAGATTCATCATTGTCTCTCGCTATTTATAGAATATCAAAATTTAAATTAATTTTGTTGAAAAAAATTTGATCTCTAATTTATTTATTCATATGCTTCCAATTCATTATGGGATTCGGTCATATATGATAGCCCAAAAATCAATATTTTTGAATGATTTTGTTTACTTTTCTCAAGATGTTTCATATTGTTATTATGAAATTACATTTTAAATACAAAACAATGAAGTACACTTTGCGTTCTATTTCATATAATAATATTAAATATGACTAGAACCGAAAATTGGTTTGATGTTCATACCGTTATCTACAATACTGGAGAAATGAAACCAAACAAAGCAGGCGTCTTTACAAAATATATAGTGGGAATACAGTATAACAATCAGGTGCCTCAAATTTGCAAAAATGATAGATATCTCCAAGAATTAAGATTCTTAATTTCCAAAAGAAAAAGATAGATTTGTAATACTTACAAATATTTAACATAAATACTAGCTACATAGTTGATCGAGTTGCAAATACTAACTTTAGAAGTGCTCTTGTAGGCAAAAAATAAGTGCATCGCAGCAAGTTGAGAGCAAGAGAGTGGAGGTGGTGACATGGCAAACAGTATATGGCTTACGGTGGAAAATCAATGGATGTCAGACATTTTTTATGGTTTAGGGAAGGATGCACCCTTTAAAATATAAGATTATGGGTATTCTTGCACCATGATTCACTAGAAGATATTGTGTGCTTCTAAAGAAAAAGTTGGTGAATATGTTGGCCTCTTAATCTTTCTAAATTATTTAGGGTAACCGTACAAGCATTTTGAGTTTTAAACAAGTATTTCTAAAAGATAACGCAGCAACGCTACATAGGAAGCCAAGGCACGATTGGAGATGACGTGGCAAAATGTCGATTGGAGAAAGCTTACTAGAGCATGACAGATAATTAATTAGGAGTAAAATCATTATTATTTCACTAAAATCAATCAGAGATAGGGTAATTCTTCGTTATGAAGTGATTGACTAATTTAATGTAAGCAAGACAAAGTGCTAACGGATAATAGTACTTTTAATCCATCAAATTTGTGTTAATTATCAATGTGGTTTCTCAAACTTATCTTTTATCGATTGCATCCCTTAAATTTACCTCATTTATTAATTTATTCCTCATTATTTAAAGAGAAGACAGCATGATTAAAATTCACTGACATATATAAAGGAATATTGATGGCAACCATGTATATTAATGAAAAGAAGTGTAATTATTTAGATAAAAAACATATTCAAGAATTTTAAAAAACAAAAGAGCAAAAAAAAAAAAAACAAAAAGGATTATATTAACAAAAATTAAGCTGATTTGAGGGCTCACTTTGTTGCATATATATGTCAAGTCATTAATATACTTTATAAATTAGATTAATTTGATAGATAATTTGTACTTTAAAACTTAAAAGACTAACATAATAATATTAGAAAATGTACAGGATCAAATTAATTAAAATTAAATTTGAAGGACCAAATTAATAATTTAAGCAAACTTGAAGGATGAAAATTTTCATTATCCCTAATAATTAATATTAATAGTTATCAAAAACTATAAAAACTAATTTTAATGACAGTAATGCATCTCAAGATTAGTTGGAAAAAAATACAGTTAGGTCTCAAAAAATTAATTTAATGATAAAAATTCTAAAAGATGAGTTATAACTGTTTATTTAGGCAATTATAAATAGAATTCTCAATTGTAAATTGAAAGTAACATTTAAAATCTATTTGCCTTATTTTGCAAATAAGACCCTCAAATTTACAGCTGTCTATATTGATATTTGCAATTCATATATTGATTTGATAGTCTGCCCTAAGTAGGCCCTAAGTATATACAATTAATTAAATTAGGGAGAACCAAAAGAACGTAACATTTACCAATACATGTGTGTGTGTGTGTATATATTGGATTCAATACACTAAGACTCGGGAATACAATTGTCAGATTTTTAGGATGCGTATGAGACATACATACATACATACATACATACATACATACATACATACATACATACATACATACATATATATATATATTTTTTTTTTTTGAGTGTCAAACAAGCATTTCTAAAATGTTACATAGATATTATAATTAATAATCAACCAAGTTATCAATAGCACAAATTCGAACACAATTTATTCGAATGCAAATAAGGTTGTTGAGACAAAAGATGCCAAAAAGATAACGCAGCAATGCAATAGGAAGCTAAGGCACGATTGGAGATGACGTGACAAAAGGTCAATTGGAGAAAGCTTATTTGACAATGAGAGATGATTTATTAGAAGTAAATTTGAATCCTAAACAAGCAAATCAAGAGTGTTTCACTAAAATCAATCAGAGGTAGGGTAATCATTCATTATGAAGTGACTGACTAATTTATTAATGTAAGCCAGACAAAGTGTTAAGGGAAATGGAGAATGTTAGAGAGGTCTCAAAAGGATAAATTAATTCAAGTTAGGTTTTAAATGTCAAATTTCATGAATTTGTAATTTAATTTTTTAATTTTACAATTCTGTTGTAATGAATTTGTAACTTGTATTTTAAATTTTAACAGGAAAAATAATTTTTTTTATTCTTCAACTATTGTAAAATTTGAAAGACAAGTTATGCATTCATTACAACGTAATTGTAAAATTGAAAGATGGAGTTATAAATTTTTAAAATTTAACCCTTAAAATCTAACTTAAATTAATTGATTCTTTTCAAACCTCTTTGTCGTTCTCTCCTAAGGGAAATGTGGTCATAACATTATGGTTGACCAATATAAAGACACCCATTATTTAATGTTATCTCAATGAAAAATATCATTATTGGAAAAAAAAAGAGTAATTGCCATTGATCCGACTACATATTTTGCTTTTATTAGAATAAAGTGGAAAAGATGAAATATGTTTTTGATATTAAATTGTTTCTTAATATGCGTGTCTCATTTCACTTGTTTCTTAGTGTGTGTATTTTACAATTGAGGGACTGTCAATAGTTTTTTTATTCCATGACTATATATATATACACACACACACTTTTACCAATCATAGCCAAATCCGAATAAATATATTTATATATAGACACACATACAATCTTATTCTTACTTATCCAATATAACTATAGGGTTTGCATTTTAAAGATTTATGCTACGATATCTTGTCAGTGTTCATATATATATATATATATATTTGGCCAACGTCAGTCTTCATATTTGATTAATAAACCGTAACTCCGTAAGTCAGTCTAAGGATTTTTCAAAAAATATTGATATTTTTGTTTTAAAAAAATGTAAATAAATACAAAAATGTTTCTTATTTTATATATAGAAGACAATAATTCAAAGAAAAAATAAAAATGAAATTGAAAAGTTTGGATATTACAAAAGGCATTAAAGAAAGACACATTATTAGAGACCGTAGCCCAAAGTTTTTCCTTCTGAATGTTCTTCCTTTCTTTCTGAATGAATAACATATTTGATTTACTCTATCTCTTGTTCTGGTTCTAATTGTGAATTGTAGGGTGAACGTGATACCCAGCTAATTAATTTGACAACTTGCAGCAAAAATAGCAATTAATTATACTAGAAAACTCACGTCCAACATAATTATGATTATAATTTTAATTATAACTTCCATCTGGCTTACGCAGTTGACTATTATATATAGCCGACGCGGAGGATCATCTAAAGCATAATGAATACATTAATTTGAAGTAACAATACCAACTTCTCATCATCGTCAAACCCCGATCCCTTGGAACAAGTAAGCATCACGTCCTCTTGTTTAATATAGTTATGGCTTTTCTTAAATTCTATACTTTCCTATTGTTTACGATTTTTAGCGAAATTCGTACCTCAATTATATATATAGCCTGTTTAGGTTATGAAAAGATCTGCGAGATCACAATTTACGAAAAACACAATTTATATATTTCCCGATCGAGCTTTATGATCAAGCACCTTGTTTGTTTTAGATAAGGAGATCGTGGTAGATATAAGAGCAATAATGATAGAGAATATGGTCTCTTCTCGTCTTTTCGTTGTCTCTACAGGGTGCCTCCAATGATTCGTCTTCTAAAAGTGGAAGCTTGCACTCCAAAGGTTGTTTCCATTGGTCCCTCCCATCATGGTGATAAGATGTTGAAAGACATGGAGAAGCACAGAGGAATAGTGTTCAGAAGATTTGCAGAGAGAGCCAAGACAGACTTAGACACTTTGGTCAACTTTGTAAAGGAGTCAGAGCCCAAGGTTCGTGCTTCTTATTCAGAGAGCCTTAAACATAGCAAGAAGGATCTTGTGAAATTGATATTAGTGGATGCTGCTTTCATCCTTAGCTATTCTAGGAAGGGGAAAATATTGCACTTAGTTTCAAAAATCGAAGGAGAATATTACATTGCAAACAGGTTTAGAGCCCCATACGCTTATGAACCCATAGTTTAGAGACAGATTTGCCATTTACCTCTCATATAATGGTTTGAGTGTTGCTCCTTTGAAGAAATAAGCACATTTTGAGATTATTTTCCAAGAAAGATTTGGTAGATGGACGATAAGAAGCAGAACATCAAGACCACTGAGATTACTTCTCATGAAACCGTAAGATTTCAATTGAGTACCTACAAAAAACACAATCCATACTTCCCAAGCTTTATGATCACCACCTTCTTTATTTTGCTAATGTGTAATTGCTGCGTGCCTTCTAATTCAAATTGACTAATTATTTGCAGGCAAAAGTGAGTAAACTCATAGTTTGAGTTGTCCCTGAAGACTCTGTCCTTAAGAGCTATCCTGCCACACCAGATTGATTGCACTATAGCTCTCTAGGATTAAACAAATTTTTACTGCTAAAAGTAGGGACACAGAATAATAAAAATTTACGAAACAAACTCAGCTAACTACGCACTGAAGCAGTGTGTTAGAAGAGAAGAGAAAGGCCAAGAGCACAAAGGCTCTTTTAAAACTTGTGGCAAGCACTACCTTTTATAGGTAGATCTCGTAATACTGGGCAATAAAATCACTTTAATCACAATTACAAAATTCGTTGCAAAAACAATGAGGCTAAATAAATAGATTTAAATAGGAGGTTATAGTAATCAATTTTATTAAATTATAATACTTCCTTTTGAAATACCCATGAAATTTTATGATATTCACTCATTATTAACATGACAGAGAACAATGAAGATGGTTTATCCTCGGACCTGTGTTGTATCTACAAGGTGCCCCTAATGATTTGTCTTCTAAAACCTGATGCTTACACTCCACAGGTTGTTTCCATTAGTCCCTTCCATCACGGTGATCTGAGGTTGGAAGAAATGGAGAGGCACAAACAAATAGTGTTCAAAAGATTTGCAAAAAGAGCTATGACAGACTTGGACACTTTGGTCAACTACTTGGAGGAGGAGTTAGAGCCCAAGGTTCGTGCTTCTCATTCAAAGAGCATCCAACATAACAAGAAGGAACTTGTGGAATTGATAATAGTGGATGCTGTGTTTATCATTGAGCTCTTTAGGATGCTTTATGAAGACGACGATGAGGTGAAAAATGATGCTAAATTGTCACAATCATGGTTATTGGAAGCTATACTTATTGATTTCCTTTTACTTGAGAATCAACTTCCGTTCTTTTTTCTTGAAAAACTATTTGATGATATAGCATTTCCACCAAAGCTTAGAGGTCACCTCCCTTCACTTCTTGATCTTACATATTGCTACTTTGGCCATCATAACGTTCAAACATTAAAACCTAACCCTGATGTCAGGATAAAACACTGCACAGATCTTCTTAGATTGTTTTACTTACCGAAAGAAACAAAACCAGAGAAAAGGCAACCATTCAAAATGGATGGATCTAGTATTCTTTTATACAGTGAAAATGAGTTACGAGAAGCAGGGGTAAAGTTGAAGGCAAGCACAAGCAAATGCTTACTAGACTTGAAATTTTCAAAACCTCCTATTCTAAAGATTCCTAAAATTTATGTCGGAGATGACACTGAAACTTCATTTTGTGATATGGTAGCTTTGGAATAGTGCCATTATCCTTATAAATATTCTACCATGGACTATACTTTTGTATTGGATTGCCTAGTCAATACAACTAAAGATGTGGAGGTTCTCACTCGTGAAAAGATTGTCAACAACTGGTTAGGTGATGCCAATGAGGTTGCTACATTATTTAATGGTCTTGGGAAAGCTATAACTTCAATTTCAGTGATGAATACCTTGAGACTTGCGGAAAGAAAGTTGAATGAGTTCTGTCAAGATCCTTGTCACAAGAGATGGGCAACTTTGAGAAGAGATGACTGCAACACACCTTGGCGAACACTGGCTTCTATTGCTGGAATCATACTTCTCATTCTCACCTTTATTCAAACCATATTTTCTATCCTTCAAGTAGCATAGAAGCATAGCTAGCTAGATTTGAATCTTGTATAATTAATTTAGTGTTCTATACTTGGAATTTATGTTTCCATATTCAGCCTTTCTACGGCATCATATGTAACCACATAATAATAATCGCAATCCTCATGCTTCGTTTTCTTTTCGCATTTGTCTGTGGAAGCTGCATAAGTTTAAAGACTTTTTCCGCAGATCTTTCTTCCCCCATCAATTAATAAAACTTGATCTCACTTAACAGAATAAAGTTAATTGTTGTACATTCATTGCTCAGCTAATAGGTTCCTCAACAGTGGCATTTCATTCAATGTGGATCGAAGTCTTTGTCAAGTGACTCATTCTCTTATCCAAAGATCGCATGACTTAATTTTTTGAAATTTACGACTAATCATGTGAATTTTACAAATCACTTTTAAATAACGTTTTTAAATAATTTACAATTCATCTTTGAAAATTTACAACTCAATTTTTTAGTATTTATTGCGGTTCATGTGCTAAATGGCTAAAACATGGAACCACAATGTAACATTGTTCAGAAGTTTTTAGAAGTCATACTTGATCTAAAATATATGGCATTGGATAGTTCCTATCATTATTTTTACAACTATAACCCTCCTTCATTGATTGCTCTTTTTTTTAAAAAAATAATACATTGCAATCTTAATTATCATTATTAAGATACTTATATAGAATATTTAATGAGGATATAATTGAAAAGATGTAAAAGAAATTTTAAGCGATTAATATTTTAACTAACTTTTTTTGAGCACTCCCTCCATCGTAATTTATAAAACACTTTCACGAGAAATTTGACACCCAAAAATATAAGACACTTTGACAATAATAAAATTTCATTAATGATGTTTTTTTAATATTATCATTCATATTATATTCTCCCTCTCTTTAATATTTTTTCACAATTGAAATATTAAATGAGAAGCATTTGTTTTGAAGTTTATATTTTTATTTTTAAAAATAAGGTTTTAAAATTTAATGAGCCTTTTTAATATGCATGATTTTATCTAAAAGTTCTTATAAATTGATATGGATATAATAATACTATAATGTAGGGAGAGAACTAAAGGAAGCTAAGCATACGTGTTATATACATGTGTATGTATAAATGTATAAAAGCCAAAAATATAATATATTGAAATAATATTCATTGAATGACTATATTGTTAAGAAGGCATACTATATTTCATTTTAATGAATTATTTATCAAGGTATATATTAATGGACGGTTTCTTTATTCTAAAAAAAATATGTAATTGTGAAAAAGAAACGCTAAACAATTTTTTATCTATTTATTAAGAGAGAATGATAGGTAAATCTTTTAAAGAAAACTCAAATTAATGATAGTTAGATTATATACGAAATACTTAATTAGAGGAAAGGTAATTTAAACTATTATTACGTTTTGTAGAATAGGGTGGCACCCAAGGAGGGATGAATTGGGTAACATTTAAAAACTTTCAAAAAATTAAAAGAGTGATATGCTTTAGTATGAAGAAAAAAGATGTACACACAAGAATTATACTAGTTCAGCCCCAAACTTGACCTACGTCCAGTCCTCAAGATCACATTTGAGATTTTCAACTAAATACATAAGTTTCAATGGGTGTTTGTCATCACAATACAACTCATAAGACTTTACTTGTCTTGAATTAACCAACAAATCTTGTTACAATCCAGCAAGTTGTTACAAACATTTAAAAAAAATACCTTTTCAAGATGTTATATGTAGAAGATAAATTATTACAGAAACTCTCCTAAAGAGTATATGAAATTACAGTTAAAAGCTTATAAATTTGTGAGATCTTTTTCACAATTTTTTTTAAGAATAATGAATGAATGCTAAATGTTTAAGTACAATTTGAAAACTTTTTAAATGCACATATAAAGATAAGTTCGCTCAAGGATCAAAAATTCTACTTTAGATTTGAATTATATCACATATATAGTTTTGGTAGTTGTCAGACCGTTAGAACAGTGTTTCTAGCCATTAATGCAATTTCTTGCAACAGGCCTGTTGAATCACGCATGAAATTGCCTTCAACATGTTCCAAATATGTATATGTGATAAACCACGCATGATTCTTAGGGTGTCTCATGCATGGTTTGCACTATATGAATATGCAATTTATTCTATGTGCAGAAACTCACGTGCAACCTTCTTGCTCTTATGCATGGTTTAGCTTACAGAAAGCCAACACTAGTTTTGTGCGATGAATCTTGCGTGCAGACAACTAGTCATCACATGTGAAAATGCTTACAGAAAGTTGAGCTAAAATTTGTATGATAAAACCTACGCAGAAGCAAAATACCATCACGCGTGAAATATCCAGCTTTAGATTTAGTCCATTTAGGAGGATAAATCACACATGGAACCCAACATTATTCATGCGTAAAATAGCATTTAGTAAGGCTTAAACTAGTTTGGTTATAAATCACGTGTAAAAATGCAATGCACTAAAGCAAGATTTGGCATGATCAAGAGATATAAATATATGAATTATAGATCATACAAGTGAGAAAACTAAACTTGGCTTGAGATGACTTAAAACTTAATATAGCAAGACTTGTTCAAAGAATAAGTAACAAATCACGCATGACTACTATCAATTCTCACGGGTTAAATGGCTCATGACGCAATGTAAAGAACACAACTGCTAAAACTTGCACACAAACTAGTGGATTACTTGTGTGATTTTGAACACAGAAGCAAAGTTAGGCATCACATAATACAAATTATAAATTATACGTGAATCACTCTTTAACTCTTGCGTGAAACGTCAGTTAGTGTGTCCGATATGCTAAAACTTATAAGTAACTAAGCAGAATCACGCGTGGTTCTACAGTCCACACAGAACTCAGCTTCTATAAACCTCAACACTCTAAAATGACATAATTTGTAAGCTTGAGTATATTTAGATGAGTCTTGATGTACACAAATGAGACTTATAAGCTAGAGATGATGCATTCATTTTAATGATTATGAAAAGTGATTAAACTCTCAAAGTTTTCAATATTGAATCTAAGAGAATTAAAATGACTTATCCTAAAGTTCTTCATCTTCTCTTGATTCTTCATGCTCTTGAGGTTTTGTCTTCATCCATGATTTTTTATACATCTGTACACATAACAAATACCTCATCTCTTAGTTTTGTAATTATCAAAACATATGATCTAACATGTTTGGATGAGTGGTGATTTAAATACATTATTTTAATACATGGATCTTGATTTAATCCAAATCCAAGCAAACTTATTTTAGTATTCCTTTACACTATGTTTGGGAGATCTTTTTAAGGGGGAATAAAATGGAGTGAGATGGCTAAAAGATATAAACATTGTTTGTGAGTTATTTTTAAAGAAGGATGGAATAGTAAGGAAGGGCCTTTAAAGCCCTCTTTTTCCATCCATAGCTCAATATTTTTTATCCCTCCAAATTGGGGGGTTAAGGATGGAGTGACACAGTGTAATTATTTCGTTTACAAAATTACTCCCAATCTTCTATCCTAATAAAAAAAATCTCATTCGATATCTATTTCACCTCTTGCTAGGGTTACACATGGGCAAGGTCAAGCCAAGTATCACCCTAGCTTGATGCCAACCCGATGTGCACTTAGGCACCAGGCTAACCCGATTGTCTTGAAGATATTTTTACAAATATTTTTTAAAAAATAAATAAATAAAGTTTTCCTTGAAAAAATATTATTATTATTATTATTTAAAATATATTCTTCATAAAATTAATATTAGAATCAAAAGAAATTTTTTAAAGGTTTAAATGAACAACAATTGCAAATTATTTTTATATATAATAAGTTAAAAACAAATTTTAAATTTTGAAAGAGATTTAAAAAATTGTAATGATAAAAAATTTCTACAAGATCATAAAAATAATATAATTCATGATAATTTTCAATAAAAAATAATTTCATAAGATAAATATTATTCACAAAAAATTAAAAAAAAAACTTGCATATTTTTGAGCAATAACCCCTACCAATGCCTGGCCCCATGTTCCCTAATGCTTTGAACAAGACAAGGCTAATCGGGTATTCAGGCATAGTGCATAGCCCTACCTCCTGCCATATCTCTCTTGCTCTTGCTATCTCTCTCTATCGCACCTTTCAACACTACGACTTTGATGTGTTTTCCTCTTGTGCAATAGGAATTTTTGCTTAAATAGCTATTACTTGCTTTCTCTTTTTATTCTTAATCCTTGAGTATCTTGTTTAACCATTAATTATTATTATTATTATTAATTGGATAAATATTATAATTATTTAATGGGCATTATTATTTTCTTTAAATTTAGTCATATGTGTAATATTGGAAGAAGAAAGTTTTAAATTGTTTTGTTCCATTTATTTTATAATAACTCCCAAACAATGGTTATGTAAAACCATTCCTTCATATCATAAAACTCCCAAACAATGAAAAATTTTGTTCTATTTCACTCTACTCCGCTCCATTCTGTTCCATTTCATTAATGACCATTCCTTTTCATTCAATTATAAACTCTCAAATGCACTCTAAAAGCAATCAACAATTACAGAAAGAAAAATAAAAGCAAGGAAAAAAAAATCATCGATTGTAATTAAGCTTGTGAAATTTAAATCATG